TTTTTGGTGGAACTGGGAATTGAACTCAGACCCTTATGCTTGCCAGGGAAGTGCTTATTCTACTGAGCTATCTCCCCAGCCCCTTGTTTCCTGTTCTTATACCTAGGCTGCTTACATACCTGGGTGTCTGTGAAAAGGAAAACCATATTTTTATCCTCTACACCAGCCATTTTGTACAGCTTCCTCAGGTCCTCATGAAAAGTATCATAATTATATCCCCGGCTAAGTTCGATCTGCAGACATTTGTAACCACAGATATGAGCTGCAAGTCTCGTGAGAGACTGCTTTCCTGTGCCTCCCACACCGACCAGCAGGGCATTGCCTCTTTCCTGGCGGATCATCCGGGCAATCCTGCAAGAAGCAAAGCAGAATTTGTTTCTGGTTCACAGACCTGGCTTTTGCTCAGAGGGCCTGCCCTGTTAGGAAGGTTGGTAGGCTGAGGATTTACGTGAACAGTACTGCTAGGCCTTTCTCCTGGCCTCCTTTTCTTTTTCTTCTTTGTTTTAAACATATTTTTAGTACAGGGTCTATAGGGTTTCACTACACAGATTGGATTTGTAGTGATTCTCCTGATTTCAGCCTACCAAGGGCTGAGATTACAGATGCACACCCAGTCTCAATTGCTGTGTCAGCATGCGGTTGTTGGGGGGGGGGGCAGCGGCGGGGAGCAGGGGCGGCACAGCAGGCCAGGGATCGAACTCCCAGTCCCTGTGTCTGCCTAAGCAGGTGCTTTAATCCTCCGAGCTATCTGGCTGGCCCTTACAGCCTTTCTCCTTTTCCACCTCTTCCCTATCTCCTATAAACTTGTGGGCCTCTGTCCTAGAAGCATAAAGTGATATTGCAAGTAAAGTAAAACAAATTTAAAATAAAGTATAATTTCTTCTGTGTCAAATGGGATTTTTCCAGGGACCTGTGTAATCTAGGTCCCTATTTATATTAATTACAATACTGGCAAGCCCAGGTCTCCATTTCTGAAGATGTTTGGGTCTGAGATGTGCGGGTCAGAAGGAGGGATCAGTTGGAACAAGTACTGCCAGATAGCAGCAAAACTTTAGAAAAGTTCTGATTCCTGTTGGTGAGAATTAAAAACTACTCTGATCATGGTGCCAGACTATCCACTCAGGAAGAAAGAAGGAAAAATATCTGGGTTTTGGTAAAAACTGGAGTGAGATGAAAGCTCTGATTATAATTGGTTGGACACTTCTGTGCAAGATGAACCTCGTAAGCAGGGTGCCACGGGCAGCAGAAGAGGAGAAGTAGAGGAGATGCTCAGGAAGTTCATGTGGAACACAGAGGAAAATGAGTGATGTCAAAATGAGGAGCGAGAAAACTGGAAGGAGGGATAAATGGGATCGTAGAGGCCACATAACAGCAAGTATAGAAGCAGAGAGAAGAGTTAATAGAACTGATGGGACAGTGACTGAAATAACAGCCGCTGTCATCATGAAAGGAAATCAAACAGGAGAGATGTAATTTTAATTAAAACATTAAATTTTCTGTATTAGTTACTGTGTCCCATCACTGGGACACAACACTTGACACAACTTGAAGGAGAAGAGGTTTACTTGGGGTCACAGTTTCAGTGGGTTCAGCTGGCAGCTCTAAGGCAGGAAAGGCATAGTGAAAGGTCATGGCAGGGGACAGCTGCTCATGCCATGGTAGCCCAGAAGCACAGGGCAAGGGAAGAGGCAGGGACAAGAGTCTACCCGACCAGTTCATACTCCAAGTGACCTGTGTTCCTTGATCAGGCCCTACCTCTGAACACAAGACTTTTGGGGGAAAATCGATGGCATTCTTCTACACAACTACAGCCTCACTGAGAGAGAAATTAGAGACAACACCCTTTACAGGAACGTCCAAAAACCTGAAATACTTAGGAATTAATCTACCAAAGGAAGTAAAAGATCTATACAATGAAAATTACAATAGTCTGAAAAAAGAGATTGAAGAGGATTTCAGAAAATGAAAAGATATTCCTTGCTCTTGGACAGGAAGAACCAATATTGTGAAAATGGCCATACTCCCAAAATTGTTCTGTAGATTTAATGCAATCCCTACGAAATACCATCAGCATACCTCACAGGTCTAGAGAAAACATTCCTAAAATTGATTTGGAACCAGAAAAGACCTAGAATAGCAAAGGCAATCCTGGCCAACAAAGGCAAGGCAGGAAGCATTACAATCCAGGCTTGAAATTATATTATAAAGCTACTGTAATAAAGTCAGCATTGTACTGGCAACAAACAAACAAATATAAAACAGACCTGAGGATCAGTGAATGGATTATAGGATGTAGACACAACTACAAACACAGTCAGCCAACTTGTCTCTGACAAAAGGACAAAACATGTTCACTGGAAGAAAAATAGTCTCTTTAATAAATGATATTGGAAAAACTGGCTTTTCACATCTCCAAAACTAAAACTTGAGCCAAGTCTATCACCATGCATTAAACCAAAGTCAAAATGGGTTAAAGATCTAAACATTAAAAGAGAAACATTAAATATGCTGGAAGAGAAAGTAGGTGGAAATCTTGAAGATATAGGGGCAGGCAGAGAGTGCATGAAGAAAAACCAAGCTGCATGAGAAATACTTCAAAGAATCAAGAACTGAGATCTCATCTTATTTAGAAATTTCTGTGCATCAACAGAAATCACCATCAGAGTGAAAAGACAACCCACAAATTGGGAAAAAATCTTAACCCACAATCACACAGACAAAGGATTTCTATCTAGAATATACAAAGAACTAAAAAACATCAAGCCCCTAAAATACCAAGACACAATCTGATCTCCAATGGGCATCTGAGATGTATACACACTTCTCAGAAGAAGAAACACAAGTAGCAAGTGAATACATGAAAAAGTGTTCCATAGCACTGGTCATTTAAGAAATGCAAATTAAAACAACAGTGAGATTCTAGATCATTCCAGAAAGAATACTTATCATAAAGGATTCAAATAATAATAAATGCTGGTGGGCTGTGGGAAAAAGCCCACTGCTGGGGGCTTTTTTCTTCACTGCTGGTAGGACTGTAGACTGGTGCAACCACTATGGAAATCAGTGTGGAGACTCCTCAGAAGACTAGGATTAGGAGTCCCATTCTATCCAGCTATTCCCCTTCTGGGTATTTTTCTAAAAGAAGAGAAAACATCCTGCCTCCTGGTGGGCTGAGCTGGCCACACACACACATAAATAAATAAAAAATTTTGGAAAAAAAATAAAATAAAATAAAAATAACTGATGTCAAAAATAAATAAATAAAAAGAGAGAAAACATCATGCTACAGTGATATATGTTTACCTATGTTTATAGCAGCACAATATCATAGCTAAATTTTGGAAACAACACAAATACTCATCATAAAAAACTGCAGTATTTTTATACAATGGAGTATTACTCAGATATAAAGATAAATTTGTGGCTTTTATAGGTAAATGCTGCAACTAGAGGCTATACTCTCAACTGAAATAAATCAGACCCACATATGTAAACATTGTATTGTCTCCCTAGTATAAGAACCTGGAAGAACAAATAAAATCTGAAAGGTACAGTAGATGTAGTAAAATGGAAAGAAACAGAACATAAGGAATAAGCAATTCGGATGAAGGAAAGGAGAAAAGTAAGGAAAAAAAGAAAGGAGAAAAAAAGTCTTGTAAGTGTAATGTACAGGAGAGCTGAGATGATTGCAATACTAATTTCTATCAGTTTTTTGATGGTAGCAGCTAATGTTTAAAATATTCACTTTGACTGATTTTATATGCTAATATCTGTAATCTGAGCAACTACACCGAAGACAGCAATGCACAATATGATAACCATTGTTGAATACCTTTCATCTTGTTTTTTAAAAAAAATATGTATCGTTTCTAATGTCTTTATTTATTTAATCTTTTATTTATTTGGTACATGGTCTTGCTATCTGGCTCAGACTTCCCAGCACTGGGATTACAGGCATGCACCACCAAGCCTAGTCTTTGTGGCCAGCTCAGTGTGGGGCCAGCATGGCATGCGGTACTAAGGGATCGAACCCAGGCCCTTGCGCTTTCGGGGCAGCTGCTTAGACTACTGAGCTATCTCCCAGCCCTTTATCTATTATTTTTATACTCTCTTTACAAAGATTTAAAAAAGGACAAGGGAAAACTTAAGGTTTATTTAAAGGAAGAGTTAAAGTTCAATTGCTTGACCAATCTTGCATTCCTCCATCTGGTAATCTGAGCAACAAATTTGATGATAATAATATGTAATATAACAACCATTGCTAATTTCCTATTGTTTTTTGAAAGTCTGTACCATTTTCATTGTTTTATGTTGTTCTGTTGTTGTTTTTTTCCTCTTAAAAATAAAATAAAAGACTTTTTTTCTGGGGGGGCATTTCAGATCTAAAACAACAATTTTCAAACTCTTCCCAAAAGAATTATTGGATATATATAGAATTATGAATAAAATTAAAAAATCTGAGAAGAGGGGAAGAGGTGCCAGTATAAAGTAAGCAATCTGTAGAAGTGTTAGGTCTATATAGTACAGTGTCATTAAGTGATGAAACCGATCAATTTTGTATGCTCATATCTGGTAATCTGAGCAACTACTTTGAAGATAACAATATATGATACAATAGCCATTGTTAATTTCTTATCCTCTTGTTCTGAAATTCTGTATCTTTTTTATTGTCATTTTCCATTTCAAAATAAAAAAAAGAAAGAAAATGTAAAGACACTTTCTTTTTTAGAGATTGTCATTGTCTAAAATCTCTGATTGGATCAGTAACAAGTACAAATCCTAGGAGAATTGGAAAAACAAGTTTCGCTACCTTTTTGCACAGGAAGGCCCTACCTACCTATGTCCCTTACTACCTTTCTACTGACCTTGTTTTATTTGTGGTGCTGGTAACTGGGGAAAGCTAGGCTCAAATATTTTAAAATTATGAGACCTTTTTATAAATTCTGAAAGTATAATCTCATTGTAACTCACGAGAGATAACCTTTACCAACTCTTGCCAATGTAAACCCCAAAAGGAGAGAATAAATGCTGGTCTGTTGTGACAGGTGAGCAGAACACACGGTAGGTAATGTGTAGACTATCTATATTCAAGTGACTAACCTGTAGAGACTTGAAAATCTGTAAAATAGGGCTGGCAAGAGCTCAGTGGACTAAGTGCCTATTTTGGCAAGCTTAGGGACCAAAGTTCGATCCCCTGTCCCGCATGCTATGCCAGCCCCACCCATGGGGCATGCTGAGCCAGTGACCGAGTCCAAGCATGGTGGTGCATTCCTATAATCCCAGCGCTGGGGAGGCTGAAAACAGGAGGAGCACTACGAGTTCAAGCTGTGCAGTGAGACGCTGTACCAAAT